GCGGTTTTTCGTTAATATCTCGGTAACGAAGCCTCAGTTTACATTGTTGCTAAGAAGAAGTTGTTCCGATTCACCGCCCGAGTGCCCCATTTCCGGGTCGGAGGACATTTTTGGGACACCCTGTATAATTCCTTATCTATTCGATAATTGAATTCAAATTTGTTTGATAGTGACATGATTGAGTTATTTGTTGTCCAAAGAATAGAATTTAAAGTGTAATTAAGAATAGTGGCAAAATTACGTTCTCTAAAGCAACTATAGAAATCTTGGATATACTAATTGTTCTAAGATTGTAGTCTTAGCAAGTTTTGAAATGAATTCAAATGAAAAAGTATAAAAATTACATTTTTCAAGAGTGACAGTAACAGATGTTAATGACAATCTTCCCAAAATGGACATACCTTCAACATGCATCACTATATCGGAATTCCATGATGTCAAAGATTTAATTTTTGCCGTTAAAGCGAAAGATGCTGATGACCCAACAACACCTAACGGTCGTGTAAAAATTAGAATCCTTTCTGGAAACGAATTAGGTAGGTATATACACATGTGTTTATAAAATTCGAGTTGTATGATAATAAACTTATTTTCCTTTTCAGGTTTATTCATTTTAGAACAGACGGATTATTGGACTGCGAATTTGAAAGCAGCCCGTTCTCTTCGAGGAAAATTTGGAAACTATTCCTTGTCTTTGGAAGCACGTGATCATGGCATTCCCTCTAACAAAGAAGCATCAATATTAAACATATGCGTCACGGATTACAATGACAATCCACCAGTGTTCATTAGTCCTCAACATAACACAACCATCCGTGTACCAGAGGTATGTACACTAATCACTCATTTCTTACACAGTTATAGCCATATTTTAGCTTTGAAGAAAAAATGTATGGTTACTACAAAATTTACACACAAAGATTCGTCATAATATATTCATATATTTTACAGAATGTAACAGTCGGAACTGCAATTATTCAAATTGAAGCTAAAGATGCAGATACAGGCCCGAACGGTGATGTTCATTATCGACTGAAACAAGACCTGGCTGGCCATTGGAGAACTTTTCACATTGACGATACAACTGGAATTATTTCACTACAACTTCCATTAGATAGGGAAACTCAAAAATTGTATCAGGTAATTTAAATATACAAAAACATGAGTTTAGTAATACAGACTGTCCTCGAAAGCCCTCTCTATTTTATAGAAATTGTTGGATAGGAAACAAAACTCCAGCAGGATGTTGTTGAAAGAATATTTTAATACGCCGCTTAAACAATTTCTTCCATTAATTGTCATAAGCAGGCATAAAAACTCAACTAACTGGATTGCACATGATCATCATCAATATCCTTACATAGAGCGGGTGATCAAATTATTATGAACACATGGAGAAATTACATATTTAATGTTTTTGGTGTTATTATGACTTCAATAATACTGAAGTATACACTTAATTTCTTTCTTAACATATGGATATACAATTTAACTATATTTTGGTATGTTTGCAACAGTATTTTGTTTAATCGGTATACAATAAGACGCAAATTTATTACAGGCTACCAAGTTTTGCTACCGGTGATAATTCATAAGTATGATTTGTTACTGCCGATTTGTTTGTTTTCTTTTGTTCATTGTTGTTTTCCGTTATTGTTCTTTACTCTAACTGTTAAATTATATTGTGTCAAAAAAAATATCGAAAGTATGCAGAGAACAATTCAAGCAATTATAAATGCAAAGGGTAGCGTGACGAAATATTGATACATGTACAGGGTGGCCCACATAACTTTTAACATCTCGAAAACTATGCCATCGATTTTAACGTTCTTGGTCTTAAATTGCATGAATCTGAAGGGCCTTTCTAACTACATAAACATGAAGTGGCCCTCCCTTCCCCTTTAAGGGGGGGGGGTACCTTTGTAATTTTAAATGGAACGCCCTTAAAACGTTACACATTTAGATTCTACAGGGAAGATACAAGTAAATTTTGTCTGAAACATTTTTTTGTCAGATCTTTCCATGATGAGATATAACAGTTTGAAGTTTGGACTTGTAGGTACTTACTTGAAGCGCTCGAAAATGGCGTTATTGAATTATACGCGCTTGAGTTCTTTGCTTGCTCGTAGAGAAACAAAAACAATAATATTTACAATTCTTGAGTTTCACTCAATTATCCATGAAAACGTTCTCAGTTTAGATCTGTTATTCAAGCAGTAACATTGCGATTATGGCTATTTTTGATACAGAAGTGAATATGTTATTAGTTTTAGGTAAATGCCAAAAAAATTATCGGCGTGCGGCAGTGATGTTTTTTTAACGTTATGGGATCGAAAAATCTCATGTAACATTTTATAATTTAGAAAAGCGGCTTCGTGAGCACGGTGGATTCTGTAAAAAATCTGGCAATAAACCTAAACCTGTCACTAATGAAAATAATACTGTCATTACTCTTGCTGCAATTACATTAAAGCCTCAAATTAGTCAACGTAAACTTGCACAAACATCACGTATCAATCGTTCTTCAATTCAACGAATTTTGAAACAGCAAAAATATCATTCATATCACTTGATTTTAACACAAAAACTTTCGATGGCAGACTACGATCACCGCGTAACATTTTGTGAGTGGCTGCAGGGTGTTATGGAAAATGACTTTTTGTGCAAAATACTGTTTTTCGATGAGGTTACTTTTATGAATTCAGGACATGTAAATAAACATAATCTGCATTATTGGGCCGTTCAAAACCCACATTGGATGCGATCTGTTCCCTTTCAACATCGATGTTCTTTAAATTGTGGCATAATAGGAGATTTTGTGATTGGACCTTATTTTTTTGAAGAAACTGTAAAATCTGAAAGTTATTGTGATTTATTAAAAAATCATTTGCCTGCGCTTTTGGAAGATGTGTCACTACACATTAGAAGAGAAATGTGGTTCCAACAAGACGGCGCTACTCCACATTTTGCAATCATCACCAGACAATTTTTGAATTAAAAATTTGGGATCAAATGGATAGGTCGTGGGGGACCTCATCAATGGCCTCCTCAATCCCCCGATCTAACACCATTAAATTTTTTCTTACGGGGATATGTAATGGACAATGTTATGTTTGAACCGCCGACGACAAAAGAGAATATCAAACAAAGAATACGTGACGCTTGAACTTCAGTGATTCCCGAAATGTTAACAAATTTTAGAACAACTTTGATGTTTCGAGCAAATAAATGATTACAAGCCCGTGGTGGACATTTTGAACATTTAATTTAAAGAACATTTTATTTCTTCACGAATAAGCAAAGGACTCAAGCGCGTATAATTCAATAACGCAATTTCCGAGCGCTTCAAATAAGTACCTACAAGTCGAAACTTCAAACTGTTATATCTCATCATGGAAAGATCTGACAAAAAAATGTTTCAGACAAAATTTACTTGTATCTTCCCTGTAGAATCTAAATGTGTAACGTTTTAAGGGCGTTCCATTTAAAATTACAAAGGTACCCCCGCCCCCCCCCTTAAAGGGGAAGGGAGGGCCACTTCATGTTTATGTAGTTAGAAAGGCCCTTCAGATTCATGCAATTTAAGACCAAGAACTTTAAAATCGATGGCATAGTTTTCGAGATGTTAAAAGTTATGTGGGCCACCCTATATATGTATACAGGGTGTAACAAAAATGTTGTCCGACCGCAAAGGGGGCACTCGGTGGGTGCATTGAAACAAGTTTTTCCTTAGCAACAATATAACCTGAGGCTTCGTTACCGCGATATTAACGAAAAACTCCGACCAATCGGAGCGCGAGTTTGACAGCCGAGTTTCCGCGCTAGCGGTAGCTACGCGCTGCGATTTGTAGCCAACGCTACCGTGGGAACTCGGCTGGTAAACTCGCGCTCTGATTGGTCGGGGTTTCTCGTTAATATCTCGGTAACGAAGCCTCAGGTTACATTGTTGCTAAGGAAAAACTTGTTCCAATGCACCCCCCGAGTGCCCCCTTTCCGGTCGGACAACATTTTTGTTACACCCTGTATATATTTTTTTGAAATATTAGAAGATATAAAATCTTTGTCATATGTCACGAAAAACATAACAATATATTTTGTAATAAAGGACGTATCATTATAAGTGTATTTTAAATTCCATTTGTTATTCAAATTCAAATGAGTTGTAATTTCGAACTGTTCATGATAATTTGATTATCCACTGTGCGTCAAATCGGTCAACTGTTGCACGAAAAACTTTTTCCAGCATCCATGAGGCAATCTGTGACACTGTTTCTACGACGCGATCTCTCAATACTTGCAAGATCTCAATTTTTCGGTGACACTTATGACATTCGAAGAAACTCGAATAAAGAAATATAACTTTTCTTGGAGAAATCAGTGAAAGAAATTGTTGCAGTTGTATATTAAGATATTCCTTCAACATCCCCTTGGAATGTTTTTTGTTCTTAACAATTTCTATAAAATAGGTAGAGACTTTATAGACACACTGTATAATACAAAGATGTTACTTTTTCTAAAATCGTAATGTGATGAGAGATCAGAAACAAATATGTATATCACTTTAATGAAAGTACATTTTTTCTGTACAATTCAATGCATTCGGTCGGCCGTATAAACTTTGTTGTTTGTTTACATGTGAATGAATGTATACATGGTGATTTGTTCAGTATAACATTGTAATAATTAATGATTGTTAACAGTTGCACTACTATATAGCGCTGTACTGCATAAAGCGACAACAGTCCCTTAATCTCACTGGATTTTATTTTCCATTAAGTTTTGAGTATGAATTCTTTGAGAACATTTTGCATAGATCTCACAATTTTTTATTTTTAGATATGCATTGTCTACTAAATGTTTAGAAAAATTCATTATAAGCGCCCGTGAAAATAATTTTATTTTTAAACTAGAATCGAAACTTTCAAATCCAATAATACAGGAATAATATTCAAGTAACATTTACTTTGTAACAATGGTGTGGTGGTTCATTAAAAGTTAGATGTTTACTTTTCCTATCGGTGCATCAATTTTCTGTTACTACCTATACGGCTCACATGTATACATATGTACACAGAAAATATTATTTTCCGTCTTTACCGGATTAATCTTGTGAATTAGATAAATGTATAAAATAAAATACATTTATGTTTTATGTCTTTACATGTTTCGATTATGAACTAATTGAAGTTATTGTTTCTTATACGCAGATCAGAGTAGAAGCGTACGATGTAGGAACTCCAACTCCACTCAGTTCGGATCTAGATCTAATAATATACGTTCGAAACATCAACGACTATGAGCCTCAATTTTTAGTGGACATTTTTAATACTAATTTAACAGAGGAGCAATTTCCGGGTACAGAAACGATATTGCTTCCACAGACCGTCGATAGAGACGATATCGATGAACTCGATGATCCTCCGGCTCAAGTCTGTTACTTTATCGTTAGTGGAAATGACGATGGTTTATTTATTCTTGACATATTTAAACATGAATTAAGCGTAAGTTTCAATACGTGTACAATAGGTTACATCTATACCATTTCGGTATTTCTGTCGTTCGTAATTTTATACCTATAAGTAATTATTTTAGACGGCCAAGAAATTAGATAGAGAACAACAGCAGCAACATTTGTTGATTATAAAAGCAACAGAAGACTGTAATACAGTTCCAGCAAATGATAGTTATTACGATGATACCACCGACACTACGTTGAAAGTTATTATAGATGTAGTCGATGTAAATGATAATCCGCCAAAATTCGTTAGTAAAATATTTACTGGAGGTGTCACCACAGAAGTTGACTTTGGTACTCAATTTATGCAAGTCAAGGTAAAGTGTTTTATATTAGTTAAAATAAAATCATAGAAAAAAAACCTAATTATAATTGGAATCTTGGTGTGTAACAATGAATTAATAAATATTGATAGAAACATAGTAATAATGTAATAATTGTTTAGTTTAAGTAATTACAAGAAATTTATATTTTAAAAAATATACATATAGATGCAATATACATAATTTTCGCCAAATGTATCACACAATCAAAGACTAATGATTATGTTAGGCGGTTGATCTAGATGCCGGTGAAAATGCAATTATTAATTATTACCAAAAGGGTAAAATTCACATGACTTTGACAGAAGGACTGGATGATATTCAGATACAACCTTTCCTGGTGAATAAACTTACCGGAGTCGTGAGTCTGAATTTTGATCCGCAAAGAGGAATGAAAGGATATTTCGATTTTATGGTATGGAAAATTAATTTCAGCTAATAATTAATTTAATCAATGACCTAACGGGATTATATGTTTAAATTTTTAATCCTAAAATTCCATTGTTAAACTTAGCCAGCATAAAGTTCGTAGAAGCGTAAGACGGAAAATTTTGTAGAAAATTCTCCATATCAATATACATATAGCTTGACTGATTTTACTTTCATAAATTCCAACCTCGAAACTTTCCGAAAGAAGATTACACAGCTGTTACGCTGAATTCCATTATTAATATTAATTGATTTAAACAGGTCCTAGCTAATGATTCGCGTGGTCTTCAAGATACTGCAAGAGTATTTATTTACTTGTTACGCGAGGATCAAAGAGTTCGCTTTGTATTGAGACAGCATCCATCAGAAATACGGAATAGAATAGACACATTTAGAGTGTGAGTGTAGATAATTTAAAAAAAAAATTAATTCTCTATTAATAAATGAACTACATTCATGCATGACAAGTATAATATTGTTATTGTACAACTGTTATATCAAACAAAAAATTGATTAATTTGAAATATTTAGGACATTGGGCAACGTGACTGGAGCAATAGTAAATATCGACGAGTATAAAACCCACGAGAATCACGACGGTTCCGTCGACCGAACGAAAACTGACTTGTATTTGCACCTTGTAAACCGTCGAGACAATTCCATTCTCGAAGTGTCCGAGGTTCTCGAATTAGTCGACAGAAACATTGAGAAGCTCGATGGTCTGTTCAAGGAATTCAATGTTCTCGACACGCAACCGGCACAGTATCAGCCGATTGTTCAGTACGAGCAGGCTGGGACGACTTTTTGGCTCCTGACTTTGACCCTGTTTCTCGGCGCTTTGCTAATTTTGTGCATAGCCTTGTGCCTTTCGCAAAGAGCCTCATTTCGTCGGCAATTGAAAGCAGCGAATGCGTCTCCCTTCGGTGAATTTTAATTATGTTTATTAAACAATGTGTTCCAAATAATATTTGATTGAGTATTAATGTCAGTATTAAATGAGTTTTAAATACTCAATCTTAAAAGAGTCCACTTCATAATATTAGATGAGCGCAAAAGTTTTGATGGGTTTTGTTCTAACAGAGCAAACTAATGATAGTTTTAATAAGTCAGTAATTATTTAGTAAGTAATTACTATTAGAAAACTAATAAATAATTTATTATTATTAGTTATAAGTTGTAATAATTTAATAATTATTCAATGAAATAAATAATGTTTCTTTTATAACAAGAATTTTCAATAGAAATTTTTATTCTGATCAATTTTCGGAGCATTATTATTATTGTATTCATATAATTAAATTATATTAATAAATTAAGAGTTTACGACAGAGTAAGATTGAGAGAACAGCTTCTCCAAGCAGATCAGAAATATGTTTTCCATGATTTGTTTATTCTATCACTTTTAAATTGTTTTTCAAAAGCTCAATTTCAATTGTATTTTAAACAATAAAATACACTCAATTACGTTAATTTTGGTTTAAAATAACAATTCATTGTGTTATATTCGACACATATAATTTTATCACAATTGTTTATTGTTTCTACAAAATCATGGCGGTCTATGCGTTGATGATTAAGTAATATTTTGCAGAAATGCTTCTATATGTTCTAATGAAACACCAAGTAAGTGATAAGTTCATTTTTTTTTAGATTTCTGACTTACGCCAGTTTCATATCACGACAAATCGATCAAAACTCTTGCGCCAACCCAATAATTGTCGGACGATTAAGACATTTTTTTTAGCTGAACAGAAGTTAACGATTGGTAGTTTTAAGTTAATATTGAAATGGTATTAAAGGAAAGAAAGAATTTTTATTTTTGATTTTCTTTGAAGGTACGTCAGACGCTGAGTTTATCAGAGGACCTGGACGCGTTCCTAACACGAACAAACATAGCGTGGAAGGTTCTAATCCAATATGGATGCATGCTTATGAGAATGAGTGGTTCAAAACTGACGAATCCATTAGTCACACATCCGAACGAGACTCTCTTGATGAGAATGCACTGAACAACGAAGAAATGATGAACGAAGTTAATACAAATCAAAGAAACGAAGACAAACCTTACTATATTGAGCCGAGGGTGTCCTCTGTTTCAAGGTAGAGTCGTTTATCTGTACAGTGAAACGACAACAATCATAAAGATTAATGTGGGAACATGAAATTTTCCTGAAAATGATCTTATAATCTCTCTTATTGTACGATCACAATTGTTGTAAAATCAATGTAGTAACAAATTTAACAAAATTCAATGAAGTTTTTATTTTAATTGCAACTTGACAGAGCTGATCAACTTGAATTAAACTTCATTTGTTCAATTTCAGTTTCTGTAAATTAGTTCATAAAAATCTATATCTGCGTAAATACTGTTGTACCGGGATTACAGTCATTCATAAGACAGCATTTTGAATTAATAAAAGTTCATTTTAAAAATGACTGAAATATCACGTGCGGATTTAGGAAATACCACTTACATTATTGTATATTTTAAACTTAATCGTAATAAGAAATTGATATCTTTTTAGCTTGGAAAGCATAGCGAATATTCCAAATGACTTCCACCACACTTCATCGTTACATCGAACACACAATACGATTGTGAATCCTCTTGGCAAGAAAATCGAGACAACAGAGCTTTAACCAAACATCGATGGTAGTATTAAGTTAACAGATTTCTTTCAGTGGTAATACCTGCGATCGTAAGGAAACTGTATATTTAGGAGTGTTCGTGTATATAGTCATGCCTCGTACAAACCGTAGAAATATTTAATATTTATTTTATAATTATTTTAAATGCAAGATCAAGAAATACGTATTTATTGTCGAAACATTATTAGCTACGAGTCGTTTAAATAGTTCTGTACAGAACGAAGACAAATGATCATTGCAACGAATCCCGTTTTTGAATACATGAAACCTGATTTTATATTATGTAAAAAGCAAATATAGCAATCTCTGCACTTTAATATCATCTTGTTAAAAAGATTTGTACACGTTTGTATATTCTTTTGACAAATAAAGTAAGATATTAATAACAAATTTTCTTTCCTCAGGAATAATAGACATTCTCATATTGAATGTTAGGTAGATTCCATAAGCATGTTATGATTAGCTTTCGTTTGTAACAGGTAATTCAGTTTAAAATTTCGATGCAAGTCAACAAAGTATAATTTACAACTTTCAACAATGCATGAGTTTCAAGAGATATATTAATTCTTAGAAAATTTGCATCCAATATACAAATGGAATCTTTTCAAGAATTTTCACATTGTTTTTAATTATTGATAGAGTTTTAAAACATTAATCTATTTGCAACGATTGTGTATGTTAAGCTGCAGAAAAATAGTTTCATATGGCTCGTGGTTTCATATCATATTCGTTCGCAACTAAGAGTGCAATGAAACTTAAAGAATTGCCCAGAAAATGAAGGAAAAATGTTACATATTCTGAGATTATAAAGGCTTAAGACTAATTAATGTTACCTTTACACATTGCGTACGGTATTCTGTTATTCTGTTCATCAACCTTCTCATCATCCAAGAAGCAATCGTATTATCATATTCCTCCACTGTCTAACTTGAATTTGCTGCAACATTAATTTTCCAAAGTATGACAAAATGTGATTGGCACAGCAATTTAGCTACAAACATAAATTACTATGATTCATCGATTACAATCAATAATCTCAAGATCCGTACCTGATGTCATAATAAAACTTTTAGTGTACTTTCTTTTACAAAAGAAAACGTACGTACAGATTATACTAAAAAGAAAATATAACAACAATTTCTAATTTAAAAACGCTTGACTTTTAACGACTTTATTATACCACAGGCGAGATATATGAATAGACCTAACGTGCAATGTAATTTTCTGTCCCATGCCTCGAGGGCGTCAGAAGCCTCCTCACCATTTTAGTGTCAATACCCGACGTTACCGATAAAGCATGAATTCTGAGTATTATTAGCACAAATGAAGTGTTATATATTCCATTCATATTGCGTGTATCTATATGATTTGACGGGAATAAAAATATCCGATGCTTCAGTTTAAGGTTAAGGGATAAATATGACAGTCATGAAACATGAAACGGAAAAGTATATATTTTTGCACTTAACTACAAGACAATTTATTCTAAATGCATCGTTAATGTACATTTTATTAATGTTACTTTTTACATGTTCTTGTTTTATTCGTTTTCATATCTTGCCTTACATTTGTATACTTGTAACACATAAATTCAGAATAGATGTAGTTTCATAAATAGTTCATCAAATCTACATGTCGGAGAATATATACACCGCTTTTATTAACGGTTACACATTTATAATTTATATGGGAGTGTGGATAGTTTTACTGCCTATTGTAAGAATCTTAATACGCACGAACAATTACTTTCTGGCAATTGGTAAACTTTTACATATGAATTTACTTACACGTTATTTACTTACAAAAATTTTATTTATTGCGAGTGATTAAATAATGAACGTATGTTAATATTCAGCAACGTGTCTCTCAAATTAAGTAAAATACAGACGTTTTATTTTCTTGAAAATTAGTGTCAAAGAATGCAGCAACTGGTCAGATTAATTTCGTAAATAAATCGCAACCCTGTATCGACACACTGTTTTTTAGGCTATCAAATATTAAATGGAGTCTTTTAGGAAGTAGTACAATCCTTTACACAAATTCAATGAAATACTTTCAGGTACCCATTTTAGGGCTATGAAATTAGAATGTTCAAGAAGAGGTAAAGAAGTTTCATATTTGCAATTATTTTGTGATACTGTAATAGAAATCGGTAATCCTGTGAGAAAAATCGTATTTAACAATATGAAATGAATAATAAATAACGGTTTTAGGGATTTATACTGGAGAGCTAAATCTATAAAAGGAACATGTCGCTTAAACAAATTAATTAAAAATGATATTTATTTGGGGAATATGAACATCATAAATAAACGAGAGCGGTAGAGTGAGCCGCGGTATCGGTGCTCTTCGTCGAAGGTGCCGACGCATGACGAACGGTGCCGGAGATGGTCGGAGCGGTCGAACGGGAGCGGAAAAGCGAGCCGCGGTATCGGTGCTCTCCGTCGGTGTCGACGCGTGCCGAGGAATTTTAGTGGTCTATGGGGGGAGGTGTGTGAGCGAGAGAGTACGGTAGAGCGTGCCGCGGTTAGTGATGGGATTTGGAACGCTTCGAATCGCTTCGAATCTGTACACGGACGAAAACATCGAATCGCTTCGAATCTAATTCGAAGCTACAAAAGTCTTGAAAGTCTTGAAAGTCTTGAAAGTCTTGAACGGATTCGAAGTTCCGAGGCGATTCGAAGTCTCGAGCGGCTTCGAAGTCTTGACCAGATTCGAAGTCTTGAACGGATTCGAAGTCTTGAGCGGATTCGAGTCTTGAACGGTCTTGGAAATCTTGAGCGTTTTGTAATTTGTAAGTCTTGGAAGTGTTGAGATGTTTTTATAGGTTATATTATTATTCAATATCTTCCAGGTTACAGGTTACAGGTACAGGATTTTTGATTACTTTTGTTCAAGCAGTATCATTGATATAAGGTATTAAACAATAGTTGTAAATTTCGAATTATCATAAATACATTTATTGTTCTAATTATTTATTTATTTATTTTATTTTTGTGGGAATTGAGGAATGTGAAAAAGGAAATGTAAAAAAAGTGAAAACATCTCCCAATGAATAAGACACAATTTGTGAAGAAATAAGGTTATTGCTTATATATATTATTTATTGAATAACAAAATCGTATTTAAACTTAACATAACGTGGGATATAGTTGAAGAGAAATTTCCGTCACTGGACGAGCGACACGGCATGCGCACATACACACACACGCGCGCATACGCATTCCTTACCTAAGCAAGACTTTTTCCGAGGGTGGCCTCGTAGCCTGACTCACAACCAAATTTATGATACTACAATAGTATTTTGTATAATGTAATATAATATACAGTATGGCCAATTTAAGTGTATACGCACTATTATTTCTTCAGCTATTGAAAATACCAAAAAATGTTTCATATAAAAGTTGTTTGATTTCTTGCAGCAAACATAATAAAGTATTTGATATGAAAGATTTTTTGTGTAGTCAATAGTTAGCGTGTATACATTTAAATCGAATATGCTCTAGACTCTAGTATACAATATAAAATAACAATTATATTTAATGTCAAGTAAATAATAATGGGTTTATTTCTTTTTCAGTAATAAAATTTTATCCAAAGTCGTATGCTTTAGTCTATTTCTTTTATAACTTATTATATTTCCTGCCTTTGAAAAAATTCTCTCGCAAGGCACGGATGTGGCAGGGCAGGATAAAATTGCTTTTGCAAGTTTGGCAAGGTTCGGATATTTTGTTATATTATTCTTCCAGTACTGCATTGGATCTGACAATCTATTAATATAACGGTCTGATAAATAATTTTCTAATTCATTTGTCGGCCCAAAACGATATGCACTTATCGAATTTTGTTCTGTCACTTCGTTATCGAAGGACGTCCACAGTGACAATGTGTTAGGGACAGGTGTACTGTTATTTGTTTGTACTATTTCAGAAACTGACATATTTAAAATGTGATTTACTATTAATTCCTTTCCCTTCTCAGCGTTTTCGCTGAACAAAAAACCTAGTACTTTAAAGCGGGGATCTAGAATTGTTGCCATTGCATACAGTGAATTAGTTTCTATTGTATTAAAATGTTTACCCATCGTTTCTTTCAATTGCACTGATAAACTATTGTCGCTATGTAATTCGAGGCATGTATGTAATTGTTTAACAGCTATATTAATTTTAGAAATTGAGACGTTGGTTTCACTACTTAATTCCATGGTTAATAAATAAAACGGTTGCAATATTGGTAAACTTTCAATTAAGATTTCCCACTCAATTGTGGTTAGGGAGTCAAACGGAGTATGAAAAAATGATAATGCCGATGTAATGGCTTGTTTTTGTTCTATCAGTCGGTTAAACATTTCGTACGTTGAATTCCAACGTGTCTCAATTTCTAAGATTAATTTATGTTTTGGTGCATTTAGTGCATTTTGCATTTCACTTAATTTATCTTTTGCCAAGCAACTAGCTTTGAAATAAGTTACTATACGCCGACATTTCTAACGTATAGCTACTAAATCTGGAACGGCTGCCAATGATTTTTTTACGACCAAATTTAATGTATGTGCAAAACATGAAACACTGCAAACCGACTCGTCCAAATTCCTAACGGCTGCGAGCATATTTGCAGCGTTGTCCGTTACTACATGTTTCACCTTTCCGTGTATATTCCATTGATAAAATATATTTTTCAAGGTTTGGGATAAGGCGTGACCTGTGTGGCTTCCGGTTATCTTCTCAGTTTGTAATGTATATGTTTTCAATTGGAAGTCGTGATTAATGAAATGGCATGTCACAGATATAATATTATCCACGTTGATACTAGTCCAGGTATCGCAAGTTATGGAGACGTCGGATACGGCATCAAGTTCTTCTTGAATCATACGTCGTTTCTCATTATAAGCATCTTCCACTAGTTTTTTAACGTTTTTCTACATGGTATTGTGTACCTGGGATCTAAGTAATTTATTAACGTACGAAAACCTTTATCCTCAACAATTTTAAAAGGTTGTAAATCTATTACAATTAAATCTACCAACATTTTGTCAATTTTTCATTTCCTTTCATTTTTATCTGAAAACAAATGAAGTTTACTATTACAGC